CATGACCAACAGAAAATACTGGAAGGGTTTGGTGGGCATTGACCTTGAGTTTGGGAGTTTCGCTTCCCCTATATCCAGAGAGCACTGTGGACTCAAACAATGATGGATCTGGAGCAAACCTGGCACAAATACTCAATATGTACAAATATGAACACTGGTGGAGTTTGGGGAATATACACCTTGACATTTGGGAGTTGTAGTTGCTGGGATTTATAGTTCACATACAATCAAAGAGCATTTTGAACCTTAACAATGATAGAATTGGGCCAAACTTCCCACACAGAACCCTCATGACCAACAGAAAATACTGTTTTCTGATGGTCTTTGGTGACCCCTCTGACACCCCCTCGTGACCCCCCCAGCGGTCACGGCCCCTAGGTTGAGAAACACTGGTCTAAGCAATCTCTCATCCCCAACTTTGTGTTTTCCAGAGGTAATGGACCACAACTCCCATCATCCACGAAACCTGGATTAAACTGAATCCAGGTCAGTGGTTCTTAACCTATGGGTCCCAAGATGTCTTGGCCTTAAGCTCCCAGAAATCCTAACGGCTGGTCAACTAGCTGGGATTTCTGGGAGTTGTAGGCCAAAACACCTGGGGACCCACAGGTTGAGAACTACTGTTTAAATGGGAGGGTAATTCTCAGACAGACTTTCATTTGGGTCTCCTGATTTTCTAAACAAAAGAGCATTGTCTACCTCCCTAAAGATGATCAGATGGCATAAGTGTTCATGGACTAGTGTTCATTTCAACAGACACATATTAACCACACTTTGCAGGTATACATATATGGATGTATGGATGGAGAAAGAAAGAGAATGGGCCCATTGCATTTCCAAGGATTTGGTTCCAGGAACCACTGTGGATACACAAAAAATACAGACGATCATGCCCGTATTATTAGATAGCAATGCAACTGCACATGCTTCAGTGTGTCCTTATTCACGTTGCTGCTATTTAGCAATATGGGGGTGTGGCGATCTGTGGTGGCTGGAAATCATGTCTGGACCCCATAGATCCAAAAGGTCCATTGCATAAAAACATGTCCAAATGCCCATAAAATGTGAGATAAGCTTTAAGATAAAGCACTGGTGACCATTCACAACAATAGTTAGTGGGGATGGAATTACCCCAATTTTGCTTTCCTCATTAACATCTGCAATGGGGCAGAAAACCACAGGAGTTGTTCAAGCTCTTGTTGCTAGAGAATGAGCATAGTATAAAGAGCATATCTGCAGAAATCATAAAGGACAGCAAGCCTGCTGAGCTGCCACATGGGGATGGGTGAGATGTGCACGGTCGGACTCTTTGGTTTGGCAGGAGTTCAAGATTATAAACAAATGCACGTGACTGAGCATAACTGGACAGGGGCAGCATTGAATGTGTAGCTGTACTGTTGAACTTGTATTCCTTATGGCCTTATAGGGGAAGGAGACTCTAAATCAGTGGTTCTCAACCTTCCTAATGCCACGACCCCTTAATACAGTTCCTCATGTTGTGGTGACCCCCAACCATAAAATTATTTTCATTGTTACTTCATAAATGTAATTTTGCTACTGTTATGAATTGTAATGTAAATATCCGATATGCAGGATGTATTTTCATTCACTGGGCCAAATTTGGCACAAATACCCAATATGCCCAAATTTGAATACTAGTGGAGTTGGGGGGAGGGACTGGTTTTATCATTTGGAAGTTGTACTTGCTGGGATTTATAGTTCATCTACAATCAAAGAACATTCTGATCTTCACCAATGATGGAACTGAACCAATCTTGGCACACAGAACTCCCATGAACATCAGAAAACACTAGCAGGGTTTGGTGGGCATGGATCTTGAGTTTGGGAGTTGTAGTTAATTTACATCTGTGGACTCAAACAATGATGGATCAAGACCAAATTTGGCACAAATACTCAATATGCCCAAATGTGAACACTAGTGGAGTTTGGGGGAAATAGACCTTGGCATTTGGGAGTTGTAGTTGCTGGGATTTATAGTTCACCTACAATCAAAGAGCATTCTAAACCCCACCAACAATAGAATTGGACCTAACTTTCCATACGTAACCCAGATGACCAAGAGAAAATACGGTGTTTTCTGATGGTCTTTGGTGACCCCTCTGACACCCTCTTGCAATCCCCCCCCCCAGGGGTCCCGACCCCCAGGTTGAGAAACACTGCTCTAAATGCTCAGCTGCTTCTGCGTAAGTATGATGGAATGCATACATTTGCACTGTGTGGAATGGCTGCTTATGGAGGGGAGAAAACATTTGCATCATTACTGTCTTATCTATCTTTATGGGACTGTTTTGGACTAAACTGACTGAGGGTATGACACTCCACAGTGTATCGTTCTGTGCAACTCTCCTCTCTTATTGGTGAAGCATGATGTCAGTTGCAACATCAAGAGGCAAGTAAAAAGAAGCAAAACCTCATAAGGACAGGGCCTTCTCAGCGGTGGTTCCCCCAGCTATGGAACTCCCTCCCCAGGGATATTAGATCGGACCTCTCCCTCCTGACTTTCCGAAAAAAAGTAAAGACCTGGCTCTCTGAGCAAGCATTTGCAAATGCAGCACAATTAAATATCATGGAACTATGAATGATGAACATGGAATGGCCAGACGATGTTACTGGATAACGTTGTTAACAGGGTGACACCGATGTTTATATGCTTTAACGGTTTTTATATATGTTTTATATTGTAATATTGATTGTTTTTAATGACACTTTTATGAATGCCTGACATCGAATTGTGCCAATCTGCAACCCGCCCTGAGTCACTGTATGGCTGAAAAATGCGGGCTATAAATATCGTAAATAAATAAAATAAATAATTATTAATTTCTAAAATTAACTCCCAGTGCCGAGACACTGCACCCCTGCCTGAACTGTACTGCCCTTTGATGCTGCCAAGCAGACTAAGGCTGTTCAATGTATTGTCGAAGGCTTTCATGGCTGGAATCACTGGGTTGTTGTAGTTTTTCAGGCTATATGGCCATGTTCTAGAACAGTGGTTCTCAACCTGGGGTCCCCAGATGTTTTTGGCCTACAACTCCCAGAAATCCCAGCCAGTTTACCAGCTGTTAGGATTTCTAGGAGTTGAAGGCCAAAAACATCTGGGGACCCCAGGTTGAGAACCACTGTTCTAGAAGCAATACAGCCCGAAAAACCTACAACAAACCAGACTAAGGCTGAATCTACACTGTCATGTCATTCAGATTATCAAAGCAGATAATCCAAATTATCTGCTTTGAACCGGAGCCCCGGTGGCGCAGTGGGTTAAACCTCTGTGCCAGCAGGACTGAAGACCGACAGGTCGCAAGTTCGAATCTGAGGAGAGCGTGGATGAGCTCCCTCTATCAGCTCCAGCTCYTCATGCAGGGACATGAGAGAAGCCTCCCACAAGGATGATAAAACATTAAAACATCCGGGTGTCCCCTGGACAACGTCCTTGTAGACGGCCAATTCTCTCACACCAGAAGCGACTTGCAGTTTCTCGTTGCTCCTAACATGGCAAAAAAAAAAAACCTGCTTTGAACTGGATTATATGACTCTACACTGCCATATAATCCAATTCAAAGCAGATGATCTGGATTTTATATGGTAGCAGGGAACAGCTATCTTGCTTTTACATTTTTGTACAGTATCTGGGAATAATAATCACCATCACTACCTTGCACGCATAGCTGGTACACCATGGAAGGGGTGGGGATATTCAAGGCTATTAAATCATATCCTCTTTCCTGGTAAAATGTCAAGAAACATATTTATTTTTAAAAAAGGAATCGAAAAAAATATATACCACTACAAATTCCTTAGATTCACACACTAACTTACAAAACACATATAGGAAAACCTGGGACACAATAGGAGGAAAAACAAGGATCAGATACTGAGTAGGCCAAGAAGTCAGTACTATCCCATTGTTAAAAGGTCTGCAACAGTGGTTCTCAACCTGTGGGTCCCCAGATGTATGGGCCTACAACTCCCAGAAATCCCAGTTTACCAGCTTTTTAGGATTTCTGGGGGTTGAAGGCCAAAATATCTGGTGACCCACAGGCTGAGGACCTGAGATTTTCATCAGCAGAGACGGGTCACTGTAGGCTTCTTAACAAGCAAATGCTAACAAGCCAGAAATGTAACCCACAATTTTCATTTACTCAAGAGACCCACATTCTTCTGACCACCCTAACTTAAGTCTACTTCTCCCAAAGGAAAAATAAAAAAAACAGAAAATACTTTTCCTTTGTGAGAAGTAGACCTAGGTTAGGGTGGTCAGAAGAATGTGGGTCTCTTGAGTAAATGAGTGTCCCTCTCTATAAATTCATATCCCTTTAGAGGAGTGGTTCTCAACCTGGGGTCCCCAGATTTTTTTAGCCTACATCTCCCAGAAATCCCAGCCAGTTTACGAGCTGTTAGGATTTCTGGGAGTTGAAGGTTAAAAACATCTAGGGACCCCAGATTGCGAACCACTGCTTTAGAGGAAGGGTGAGAATTTGGATGATGAACATACGCAGGGGAGCAACCTTGTTTGAACTCTGGAAAGCATAAAAGTCACATTCCCCATCTGTATCTCTTATTTCCCAAAGAGCCAATCCACTAACCACAAAAGAAATATTTAGACTGGTGCCATTTCTTGGTAAAGCGTCCCCCACCCCACTTTTTGTTAGTCAGAAGTTCTGGATGGAAATATATGTTCTATTAGATACTGAAAATGACTTCGATTGCCGCCTCCCTATACGCCAAGGTACATTTTTCATCTCGAGGCTAGAGGAACGCAGCAGTTGCACTAGGGTTCGCCTACAAATGGACCTTGAGCTTGTTTGGAGGTTCTAGCAGAGGAGCGCAGCTATCGTATAGACTGGAGACCTCGGTACCTGGCACGTCGTCCTTTTCCACTAAGCGCGCAGCTTTGGGAGGGACGCACATGGAGCGGTGAGGGAGGAAGGGGACACCCGCCTAGCCAGCCAGATTAGCCGAATCAATCAATTAGCCGATCAATGGGGTGACAGATGTCGCAGCCAGATCGCCTTCACATCCGGTTGCAGTAGGGTCATTGAGTGCCTACTTAACATCTCCAAAAAGTGCATCCTCCAGTTCATTTCTGGGGTAGATGAAGACAAATGATCTAATCCAGTGGTTCTCAACCCGGGGTCCCCAGATGTTTTTAGCCTTCAACTCCCAGAAATCCTAACAGCTGGTAAACTGGCTGGGATTTTTGGGAGATGTAGGCTAAAAACATCTGGGGACTCCAGGTTGAGAACCACTGATCTAATCAATCACCCAACATGGAAAAGGACAGAGGACTGCGGAGAGGCAAACAACTGGATGTTTACAGGAACAGCCTAGCTCAGGCATTGGCAAATTTCGGCCCTCCAAGTGCTTTGGACTTCAACTCCCACCATTCCTAACAGCCTCAGGCCTCTTCCTTTTCCCCCTCAGCCGCTTAAGCGGCTGAGGGAGAAAAGGAAGAGGCCTGAGTCTGTTAGGAATGGTGGGAGTTGAAGTCCAAAACACCTCAAGGGCCCAATTTGGCCCATGCCTAGCCTAGCTCATCCATGCATCCACAGTAGCAAAGGGAGCTCTTGTCACATCTGCACAGCTGTTCTGGTAGTCTGAATTGTCTTCCTTGCAGGGCAAGTTTGGCTGGGGTGTCTGCCAAAGCACAGAGTAAAGATGGGCTTCGTAGTTGCTGTCTTGCATGCTGACACAGGTCCCCAGCAGCGCAGCATCCACCAGCCCCTCAGAAGGGAGGTGGGAGGCCGCGGCCAGGGCACAAAGAAGCGGTCCATCCCATTCCGAAAGAGAGGAAGAGCTATTTTCTTCAGTGGATATACAAGTCAGTTGATTGGAAGGCAGGCACAGGCAAGGGCTAGGCCCCCGGCCTGGTTGCTGTGGCAACACAGGCTGAGCTAGTTCGGTTATTTCAGGTGGAGAGTGCTGGACCACCGAGCCTCGCAGGGTAACGGCTATTTGCTTGCCTGAAGGGAAGTCGGGTGGGTTTCTAAATCCAATATTAAGAACGGAAGAGTTGCAAGAGAGTGAGGCAGCACATGTCCCGTTCCTTAGAATAGATTCCTCCTCCTCCTGCTGCATTGGGCTTTTGAGATATTCAGTGTCTATAGCAACGGGCTCAGACATGCGACAGGAACAGTTTTCCAAAGGTAAATGTGGGTGAGCGCAAAGGCAGATGGGGGTATGGGATGGAGCTGCACGCAGGCCAGGGCGTCTGGGAGCTGCCTGGCTGTCACTCAAATTCGGGAAAGGACGTTGTGGTGTGCCAACCTGCTGCTCCTTAGTGGCCAAGTCTGAACTTGACTGCTTCTTATCTGATGTGAGTGCTTGCTTCTTTTTCGCTGGACCTAAAGGGCTCCAGGACTTCTTCCGTTTGTGGGACAGTGCCAAGACCCTCTCCTTTTCAGGTGTAGTATGGCATTTGTCTTCAGCAGGGCCAATAGCCCGTGAGCCATTGTTTGCCACTATGCTGCTCTCTTTATGCAGGTTAGAAGCTGAACCTGGAGACTGCAAAACAAAGGGCACAGTGCTGTCAAACACCTCCAGGGACCAAGCCGTTAGCTGAAGAAAGCCTTGGTCCTCAAAGAAGTGGGTTGAGTCCCTCGGGGTGCCAAAGTGTCCTGCTGAGCCCTGAGCAGACATGCAACATTGCAGTGCTTGATCTAAAGGTGGTACTATCACGTTCTCATTCACCTCCTTCAGCAATCCAAAGGATTTTCCATCACCAGTAGCTGGAGGCACCCTGGGGGAAAAACAAGAGATAGAAATGCAACATTTTAAAAAGGTCTGAGTGCAATAATAATAATAATAAACCCAGATTAAGTGTTTGTTGTTCATTCGTTCAGTCGTCTCCAACTCTTCGTGACCTCATGGACCAGCCCACGCCAGAGCTCCCTGTTGGCTGTCACCACCCCCAGCTCCTTCAAGGTCAGTCCAGTCACTTCAAGGATGCCATCCATCCATCTTGCCCTTGGTCGGCCCCTCTTCCTTTTCCTTCCACTTTCCCCAGCATAATTGTCTTCTCTAGGCTTTCCTGTCTCCTCATGATGTGGCCAAAGTACTTCAACTTTGTCTCTAGTATCCTTCCCTCCAGTGAGCAGTCGGGCTTTATTTCCTGGAGGATGGAGTGGTTGGATCTTCTCGCAGTCCAAGGCACTCTCAGGACTTTCCTCCAATAATAATAATAATAATAATAATAATAATAATAATAATAATAATAATAATTTATTTGGGCTGTTGTAAGTTTTTTCGGGCTATATGGCCATGGTCTAGAGGCATTCTCTCCTGACGTTTCGCCTGCATCTATGGCAAGCATCCTCAGAGGTAGTGATGCCTGGCTACCTCTGAGGATGCTGGCCATAGATGCAGGCAAAACGTCAGGAGAGAATGCTTCTAGAACATGGCCATATAGCCCGAAAAATCTACAACAACCCAGTGATTCCGGCCATGAAAGCCTTTGACAATACATTGACATAATGTGACTAAATAATGTTATATGGCCCTTCTCACCCCGAAGGGAACTCAGAGCGGAGCACAGCATATACATGGCAAACATTCAATGCCTGGATACAATACATAAACATTAAAGCCTGAAAACGTGGTTATTCCAGTGTGCCTTCTCAGAATAAGGAATCTCCCAGCAATATGTCCTTAAATGCACTTTATTACTGATCTAGGATTGCCTGCACGCCCCATCCCTCTCCGAAAACACTATCCTAGTCACATTTCACCTGTTCATGCCCAGCCATAGGTTTTTTAAACATCGTTGTGTTCTGTTAATGTTTATTGCTTGTTTTTTTTGATGAGTTTTATTTATTGTTTGTACGAGGGGTATTTTTTAAGTAAGGTCCGTTGGAACATAAGTACACAACGAAAGTTTATTTCAAAAAAGTAAATTTAGTTTCAGAAAGTACATATTTCACTCTATTTTTCGACATAGTTGCCAAGTTTGTTCAAACACTTATCATACATCCTCGCTTCAACTGAAGCCACCAAATCATCTGTAATCAAAGAAGGGCGACCGGAGCGGTCCTCATCATGGACGTTGTCACGACCATCTTTGAATTGTCGTACCCACTTACGCACTTTGCTTTCACTCATAACAGTATCACCGTACACTTCACAAATCTGTCGATGAATTTCTGCAGCAGGCAGGTTCCTTGCTGACAAAAACCGTATCACTGAGCGAACCTCACATGCGGCGGGTGAGTTGATAGTCTTAAACATTTTTAAAGCACAGAACAGAACCGTACAGGTTAGCTACAGAGCGGAAACTGAGCACAGTTGTTCCCGAGGCATGCTGGTACACGACGCACACGCTCGTTGCGGTATGCGCGCGAACTACTAGTGTCTACAACAAAACGGACCTTACTCACCATCCTTGATTTGTTCATGAAAATGAACAAAATATGTCTACCAGTATTACAAAACTCTAAAATTACAACAGCAAAACAACAGAGAGGAAACAATCTGGGACATCTAATCACCTCTCAACAACAGATTGCCCCAGGCACTGCCAGGCCATCAAATGCTAATCAAGGTGGTCAGTTGACACATTCACACCTAGTTCCAGCAGACAAGAGTCCTTTGTCCCACCCTGGTCATTCCACAGATATATAAACCCTTTTTCTTAATTCCAACAGACCTCACAACCTCTGAGGACGCTTGCCGTAGATGCTGGCGAAACATCAGGAGAGAATGCCTCTAGAACAGTGGTCCTCAACCTGGGGTCCCCAGATGTTTTTGGCCTTCAACTCCCAGAAATCTTAACAGCTGGAAAACTGGCAGGGATTTCTGGGAGTTGTAGGCCAAAAACATCTGGGGACCCCAGGTTGAAAACCACTGCTCTAGAACATGGCCATATAGCCCGAAAAAACCTACAAGAACCCAGTGATTCCGGCCATGAAAGCCTTCAAAAATTTAATGGGTGGGCAGAATATTTACTTGGGGGACAATGTTTTCCCTTTTGCCCTGGGGATTGACCAAGCTTTATTTTCAAATTTTAGATGTTCTCAGAAATATCATTCTTATTTTTTGAAGGCGTTTTGTGACTCGCTGCTGTTGGACCTCTGCTTTGAATTGAGGAAGTTTTGATTTGATTGCGTTGAATCATTTTGTTTTCACACTGCATTTACACGATGCTAGACATATGGTGAGCCATTTTGTGAGGTGAAGGGTAGGATGGATATATGCCAAACAATAACAATGCAAACATAACCAATATCTTAGATAGCTGTGCTCTGGGTTTCCTCTCTCAATCATATTGGAAGAAGATAAAAAAGGAAAGCCAAAATATGACAGTCTCTTCTATACGTACTATATTTAATTTAAGTGACTGCATACAAGAGTGGGTATACCTTAGGAGTGCAGGATTTATAGAACTCTGCTATCGACATTCACAAGCAAGGTAGAAAATATAAAAGTTCCTCACACACTTCACATCTTGGAGAGAATGGAATAGTTTTAATTCAGCCTTGCCCAGTCCAAAGCCCATGCATGAAATTTTAAATTTTTACCTTGGGGATGGAGTGCCCAAGAAAACATACTCATTTGTCAGCTGGGAAATGATGCTATCCACAACAGCGTAGTGGGAAGGATCTGACACAAATTCCTTATGTTGTGGGCTGTGAAGATGCTGCAAGGGCAAGACAACTACATTAGAAGATATTAATGAGAGAAATGTGAAGATGACAAAGTTGGCAATCCAGTAAACATCACTAATTGTCTTGTGGCTTGTTTATCTCCCAAAGAACAGCAAGACCTCCCGCTTATGAGTCAAGTGCCTGCCATGATTTCAGGAGCAAATCCAATAAGGTCAGCTTACTATGTTACTTACTTACTGAGGCGATCCCTCGTTGGCCGAGTAGGATAGTCTTCCAGGATCAGAATTCTTGTGGGTCTGTAGGTGGCTGTGGAGCCCTATTCTTGATCTGCATCTTCTTCCGCAGTGAGGGCATTGGTTTCCAGGTGGAAGGCGGTCTCGGTCGGGGTTGGCTTGATGCGCCTTCCTCTTGGCACGTTTCTCTCTTTCACCCTCCATTAGCGCCTCTTCAAATTCTGCAGCACTGCTGGTCACAGCTGACCTCCAGCTGGAGCGCTCAAGGGCCAGGGCTTCCCAGTTCTCAGTGTCTATGCCAGAGTTTTTAAGGTTGGCTTTGAGCCCATCTTTAAATCTCTTTTCCTGTCCTACCAACATTCCATTTTCCATTCTTGAGTTTGGAGTAGAGCAACTGCTTTGGGATAGGACAGGCTTCCGGACAACATGGCCAGTCCAGCGAGTTGATGGCTAGGACCATCACTTCAATGCTGGTGTCTTTGCTTCTTCCAGCACTGACATTTGTCCACCTGTCTCCCAAGAGATTGCAGGATTTTCCAGAGGCAGCGCTGATGGAATCGTTCCAGGAGTTACATGTGACGTCTGTACACAGCCCACGTTTAGCAGGCATATAGCAGGGTTGGGAGGACAATAGCTTTATAAACAAGCACCTTGGTGTCCCTACGGATGCCCCGGTCCTCAAACACTCTTTGCTTCATTTGGAAAAATGCTGCACTCGCAGAGCTCAGGCAGTGTTGTATTTTGGTGTCGATGTTGACTTTGGTGGAGAGGTGGCTGCCAAGATAGAGGAAATGGTCAACATTTTCTAATGTTACACCATTAATCTGTATCTCTGGCGTTGGAGAGGTGTTGGCTGGTGACAGCTGGAACAGCATTTTGGTTTTCTCGATGTTCAACGACAGGCCAAGCTTCTCGTATGCTTCTGCGAAGGTGTTTAGAGTGGCTTGTAGATCTTCTTCTGAATGTGCACAGACGACGTTGTCATCAGCATACTGGAGTTCTATAACAGATGTTGTTGTAACCTTGATTTTGGCTTTCAGTCTGCTGAGGTTAAATAGCTTGCCATCTGTCCGATAGATGGTTTCCACTCCGGTGGGAAGCTTCCCATCTGCAAGATGAAGTATCATAGTGATGAAGATGGAGAATAAGGTTGGTGCAATAACACATCCCTGTTTCGACACCTGATTCCACCTTAAATGGGTCATGTTGGGAGCCATTGCTGTCCAAGACTGTTGCCTTCATGCCATCATGGGGGAGCTGCATGATGTTCACAAATTTGTCAGGGCACCCCATTTTTTGGAGGATGGTCCAGAGAGCGCTGCGATTCACTGTGTTGAATGCCTTTGCAAGGTCAATGAATGCCATGTACAGACGTTGATTTTGTTCCCTGCATTTTTCTTGGAGCTGTCATGCCGTGAAGATCATGTCCACGGTTCTTCTGGAGGGGCGGAAGCCATTCTGGGATTCTGGGAGGGTGTCTTCTGAGAAGGGTAGAAGGCGGTTTGCAAGGATTCTTGCGAGGATTTTCCCAGAGGAGGTTAGGAGGGAGATACCTCGATAGTAGAAGTAGAAGGTTTGCACAGGTAGGAAAACCAATGCTAAGAAAACTATACAAATAAATTTGTACAGTCACCAAAGAGGTCTACTTTCCAAGTTTTATTCCATAGCCATAAAACCCAGCAATATGCCCTGTCTATCCAGAAAGCCATGGAATTCTAGTGGAAGTTTGTGGGTTCTGCAGTCTCTACAGAAGGAGCAAACATAGTCATGGAACTCCCTTGAGATCTCTGAAGCACTGAATGGAGTTATATTTCAGCACTGTTTCCATACAGAATCCAGCAGACCTTGATGCCTAGAGCTGGCAATATACAAGCATTTTATGGAAGTATAGAAGTACTAGCTGTACCCTGCCATGCGTTGCTGTGGCCTATAGGAAATCTTTTCAAAGTAGAGGTAGATATCTGGAGTATTATGAAAGAGAGGTACCTACCTATTCCTTCCCCGTTTTTCTCCCCCTTTCCTTTCTTCCTTCTCTACCTCTTTCTTTCTTTCTTTCTTTCTTTCTTTCCTTCTTTCGCTCCTTGGTTTCATCCTTCTCTCTTTCCTTCATTCCCTCCCCCTTTCTTCCTTTGCCTCCTTTCTTCCCTCCATGTTTCCTTCCTTCTTTCATTTTTTATTTCCCTTTCTCCTTCCTTCTTTACCTCTTTCCTGATCAGGGAGGGAAGGGGTGGGGGGGGAGGAAGGGGGCGCGGGGTTTGCGGCGGGGGAGGAGTGAGTCAGGGAGGGAAGGGGTGGGGGGGAAGGAAGGGGGTGTGTCTTACCGGCGTGAGTGTGATTGGGCCCGCCGCGGAAGGGAGGGGGCGTGTCTTACCGGCGGAGGGTGGGAGGAGGGAAGGAGTGAGACAGGGACGGAAGGGGTGGGGGGGAAGGGAGGGAGGGGGCGTGTCTTACCGGCGGGGAGTGGGAGGAGGGAAGGAGTGACACAGGGAGGGAAGGGGTGGGAGGCGAAGGAAGGGGGCGTGTCTTACCGGTGGGGAGTGTGTGTGTGCGGCAGGGGGGAGTGAAGGAGCGTTGTTGTGTGTGTGCGTGCGGCAGGGTGTGTGTGTGTGCTGGAAGCGGCGCGGCGGGGCTTGGAGTGGGCATGGCTTCCGCAGAGGGAACGTTGGCCGGAAGGCCATGTGCGCGCGCCAGGGAACTTGCGGCTGGGCGCCAATGCGCATGCTCAGTTGTTTTGCCGTTTTGTGAGTGTGTTGTTGTGTTGTTTTTCATTTTGAGTAGATATGTTTGTACCTTGTGGGTTATGTTATGGGCATGGGAATTTTGGTTAAGTTTCGTTGGGGTTTTTTTGAGTTTTGTGGCTCTGTTGGATGCCCCTAACAAATTTATATATATAGTTGTATAGAATGTCACAGAATCCATCTTCCTGGCCAGTTCAGCTTTCTTGAAAGGTACAAAAATGCTTTATATTTTTAGTGTTGCTAGTAGTCCAGATTGTACCAAATGGTGGCATCATGTTTATACCCGCCACAAACAAGACTACAGACAATCTGCTGTAGCACAACATATGGAAATGAGAAATCAGATATATAACCGTACCCTATCAGAAATTCTAACTGCCTTTTTTATCAAAGAAAACCTAGACATTTTGACAGTTGTAGAGTCAGGGCTGAGGTGAAGGACTTCCTTACCATCCACAGTTCTGCAAAGGGTTTTTCACAACATTCACAGTAGCCTTTCTGCATCTGGGGCACGAAACAGCCATCAGAGAGGGGACTTGCTCCATTGGCTAGGCCGTGGCTTTTAGGTTCTCTGCAGAATGGAACCAGCACAAATACATTCTTCCATTATTTCCATTATTTCTTCTAAAAATCTTCTACAGTTCAGGTTTGACTTTTGCAGATTTGATCATTCATAGATGTAATTCAAATGTCATCTAAAGGAATCTTGTTATTGTTTTTTTAAAATGTTTATGTATTTTATTGTATTTTGTATATTTTGCTGAACTACTTCGTGCTTTTGTAAGGTGTCCAGAGTTCCTTTTGGGAGATGGTGGTGGGATATAAATAAAGTAGCAGTAGCAGTAATAGTTGTTGTTGTTGTTGTTGTTGTTGTTGTTGTTGTTGTTGTTGTTGTTGTTGTTATTATTATTATTATTATTATTATTATTATTATTTCTAACTTCTCTAATGTAGTTCTATAGTCAGCTTCCTCCAGAAGTTGATCATGGAGTCACATTTGAGAACCTAGAGATTCTCTGTAGGTCAGTAGTTCTCAACCTTCCTAATGCAGCGGCCCCTTAATACAGCTCCTTATGTTGTGGTGACCCCGAACCATAAAATTCTTTTCATTGCTACTTCAGAATTGTCATTTTGCTACAGTTATGAATTGTGATATAAATATCTGATATGCAGGATGTATTTTCATTCCCTGGACCAAATTTGGCACAAATACCCAATACATCCAAATTTGAATACTGGTGGGGTTGGGAGGGATTGATTTTGTCATTTGGGAGTTGTAGTTGCTAGGATTTATAGTTCACCTACAATCAAAGAGCATTCTGAACTCCACCCACAATGGAATTGTACCAAACTTGGCACACAGAACTCCCATGACCAACAAAAAATACTGGAAGGGTTTGGTGGGCATTGACTTTGAGTTTTGGAATTGTAGTTCAGCTACATCCGGAAAGCACTCTGGACTCAGACAATGATGGATCTGGACCAAACTTGGCACAAATACTCAATATGCCCAAATGTGCACACTGGTGGAATTTGGGGAAAATAGACCTACACATTTAGGAGTTGTAGTTGCCGGGATTTATAGTTCACTTAAAATCAAGGGCATTCTGAACCACACCAATGACAGAATTGAGCCAAACTTCCCAGAAAGAACCCCCATGACCAACATAAAATACTATTTTTTCTAATGGTCTTTGACAACCCCTCTGACACCTCTTCGTGATTCCCTCAGGGGTCCCGACCCCCAGGTTGAGAAACACTGCTGTAGGTCCACAAGTGAAATTCTTTTGTCACCTGCCAGCGTAAGGTGAGCATACAACAGGGGTCCTCAAACTAAGGCCTGGGGGCCAGATGCAGCCCTCCAAGGCTATTTACCCGGCCCTCGCTCAGGGTCAACCTAATTTTGAAAGGACTTGAAAGTGCACAATAACAACAACAATGCTATCTCATCAGCCAAAAGCAGGCCCACACTTCCCATTGAAATACTAATAAGTTTATATTTGTTAAAATTGTTCTTCATTTTAATTATTGTATTGTTTTTTGCACTACAAATAAAAATATGTGCGGTGTGCATAGGAATTCATTCATGTTTTTTTCAAATTATAATCTGGCTCTCCAACAGTTTGAGGGACTGTGATCTGGCCCTCTGTTTAAAAAGTTTGAGGACCTCTGCCATAAAAGTTATGGAGGAAAATCAAGAAATTGCTAGGTAGGTTTTAAAAAGTTTTTTAATTTGCATTTTAAAATTTTTCACAGGGGTGCTGTGCCCCTAATCCCAGCAAATTCAGAGGTCTGACTGCACTTTTTCTCCAATTCAAAATATAATGATACAATTGGAGCACACTTCCATGCCACCTTGGCCTCTTTTTGGAAAATTTAATGCTTTGGACTATAATTCCCAAAATTCTAAACCATCAAGGAGAGTACTACAATCCATTACCGCTGCTCCAAACTCCCACACTATGTTTCTAAGTGCTGGCCTTTGGTTTCTAAACGTGAGCAGGGAATGGCTCGTATATCAATATTTCGTGGCTTTTCCCTGTTAGCGTGCTGTGAAAATCCTTGGCAGGATTCCAGCAGTCTACCTGGCTTCCTCACCACACAGACAGATTTCTAGTCTTGTATACTGTTATTATGCAGAGCAAGTCTAGTGTAATGGTTTGAGCATTGGGACTGATTCTGCAGACCTTTGTCACATTTCTTGCTCAACCACGAAAACCCACTGGGTAACATTGGGAATGTTATGCTTTCTCGCTATCAGAGGATGTCAAAGGCAAATCCCCTCTGAGTAAATGTTGCCTTAGTGTCGCCACTGGTTTGAAATGACTTGAAGGCACTCAACAGAAAATTTATCCGCAGAGCTTTCCAAACCACAAAAATTATCATGGCCACTATCAGCTAGCTATCATTCTCCTTTTACACAGGAAGCCACAGGGAGGAGGGAGCAAGCTTGTTTTCTGCTTCCTTGGAGACTAGGACGCGGAACAATGGCTTTAAACTACAAGACAGGAGATTCCATCTGAACATGAGGAAGAACTTCCTGACTGTGAGAGCCGTTCAGCAGTGGAACTCTCTGCCCCGGAGTGTGGTGGAGGCTCCTTCTTTGGAAGCTTTTAAACAGGGGCTGGATGACCATCTGTCAGGGGTGATTTGAATGCAATATTCCTGCTTCTTGGCAGGGGGTTGGACTGGATGGCCCATGAGGTCTCTTCCAACTCTTTGATTCTATTATTCTACACATACACACACACACACACACACACACTTACTTTGAGATGGAGGATTTCTGTGGAAGTTCAAAGGGGCTCTTCCTTCTCTGAGGTAGGAAATATAGTTGAGGGAAATAACTGAAGTGTTTAAAAAATGGACGAAGTTGCCTAGACAGAGGAAAGAAAAGTTTGTCTCAATCTTGAGAGGAATGGGAGAACTTTGGGAAGACAGGATCTACAAAGCACGATGCCATTATTCTTCAGAATCTTGGACTGTCATTTATGAAAAAGCATGCTGCTGAACGCCGCCTTTGTGCTCCATTTGAGACTATCTCAGACAGAGGTGCTTACAGCCTACCAATCATTTCTGGCCTTCGATCCTTATCAGCTCCAACTGATGGTGGAGGATCTCGACTATGCCAAAACTGGGAGGCGGTTTCCCTAGTTCTGGGCTAAACTAACCAGGATCATACCAGAGTTGAAAAACTTAATGCTACCTCTGAACTGCGATTCTTGATTTGTTGTTATTATAACCTTGGATCCAGAAGCAAAACTGAAATTCTGGCTTCAGACTCTATTTCTGAACTTGTATAGGGTTGAGTTAGAACTGGTCATTGAGGCTTGTTGAAACCACCAGGTCTTCAAGCTCTTACGAAAGGAGGGGAGGGATGGGGCCTGTCTTATTTCCCTTGGAAGGGCGTTCCAGAGGCGGGGGCCACCACCGAGAAGGCCCTCTCTCTTGTCCCCACCAACCGCGCTTGAGACAGTAGTGGGACCGAGAGGAGGGCCTCCACAAGCTCTAAGACCTTCCGCGGAGGCCCTCCTCTCAGTCCCACTACCGTCTCAAGTGCGGTTGGTGGGGACGAGAGAGAGGGCCTTCTCGGTGGTGCCCCCCCCCCCGCCTCTGGAACGCCCTTCTAAGGGAAATAAGAAAGGCCCCATTCCTCCCCTCCTTTCGTAAGAGCTTGAAGACCTGATGGTTTCAACAAGCCTTTGAAAATGACCAGTTCTAACTCAGCCCTACACATTGTTGAATACGGACCTTATTCTTCCTACCAATTACCCAGATTCTTTCCTCTAATCGGCCCTGGAATGAACAGCCACAGACCCGTACCTAATATTATTGTTGCCTGCCATAGCATTGCACTTAATTCCTGGGCCCCCTAGAATCTTGGATCCAACGGGCTGCAGCCAGGTTGCTAACAGGAGCGGCGCCCAGGAGCATACAACTCCTCTGTTGCACCAGCTCCACTGGCTGCCAATTTGCTACCGAGCACAATTCAAAGTGCTGGCTTTAGCCTATAAAGCCCTAAACGGTTCTGGCCCTGCTTACCTGTCCGAACGTATCTCTCCTTATGAACCCTCTAGGAATTTAAGATCTTCTGGGGAGGCCCTGCTCTTGGCCCTGCCATCTTCACAGGTTCGATTGGCGGGGACGAGGGATAGGGCCTTCTCAGCAGTGGCCCCTCAGTTGTGGAATGCCCTCCCCAGGGACATTAGATCAGCCCCCACCCTCTTAACGTTTTGCAAAAAAGTTAAAACCTGGCTATATGAGCAGGTCTTTCCAAACGTATCTAGCTATTAAACTCTGATCTCGGAACGGTTGGACAACGTGACTGGACTTATGGTTTTTATTGTGTTACTGGTGTTAATTGTAATGAATGTTTACCTGTGTTAAATGTTTAAATTATTTTGTACTGTTGTGGGCATCGAATTGTGCCGTTTTGTAAACAGCCATGAGTCGCCCTCGGGCTGAGAATGGTGGTATAGAAGCATAGTAAATAAAATACAGCCTGGAAACCTCACAGCAACCCTTTGATTCTGGCCATGAAAGCCTTCAACAACACACTATCTCATTGTGTTTTTTTGGCCCCAAATACCTGCAAACATCTTCTACATCTTTCATCATTACCCTCCCTGGCTAAAATTCCTGAACATTCTGTAGAGGGCATGTGGGATATTTTCGCACATTCTGGAGTCTTCCAAGCCATTTTAGTGTTCTGAGCCCCTGAATTTCCTTTTTTTGTTGTTTCAGAAGAAGTAAGTGGTGGTACATTATGTTTCTTACCTTCTTTCATCTTCAATTTTTAGGAAATGTGGTCTCAGCTTGACTACTAGAAAGAAAAAGAAAAAAAAACACCAATTTTCAACAGTTATCATTATTAAAGTATCAGAGAAAACAGAGACACAGCAATTGCCATCACTGATTTGGGATAAGCAGAAAGGTCAAAGGAAGCCAGGCAGCCTGGATCTCTCCAGCACCTCTTTTTACAAGTTAAACACTGTCATGACAGATGGGAGGGTAGGGAGGAGGAGAGAGAATTACTATTAAGCAGCCAGCTCAAAAAAAAAAAGGTTGAGCAAGCTGTTGCAGGTGACTGTTATTTAAACATTGTGCAACAAGGCGATTATTATATTAAAACAACAGCCCTCCTCATGAACAGGCACAATGCCAGCACTGTGCCAAGGCTGCATTGTTAGCAAATGGGACAGCGTCCAGGGCTGACAGCCGTGAGAGCACATTTCCGGGGAACAAGAGATGGGGCTTGGACCTTGTTGGAGTCATACACACACACACAATCTATCAGCAGTTTAAATATCAAGAAACAATTAAGGTTCTCCTGAAAGGGTGGGAGTGTGGAAGAAGGGGGGGAAAAGCCCTCACACTTAGCTATGCAAGCTCCATGCTGAATTTTCCAATGGACATGAATTTAAATAGCAAAACACAGTGCAAAATTCCTAAATGTCAACATTATTTGAAGGGGAGCTTGGGAACATACAGACCCTTCACGGTAAAACAACATTTATATCACAAAATGAACCATTTACCTTCCACTTTGTTGTCTGCAGCCAAACATTTGCCCCTGTTTGAAGTTACTGTATGTACTCGAGTATAAGCTTAGTTTTTCAGACCTAAGTCCCCCTCGGCTTATACTCGAGTCAAGGTTATTTATTATTTTACTCTGTTATAAATACATAATAAATGCATTATTATTATTACATTTATTATTTTACTTTATTGCTGTTGTTATTGCATTTATTATTTTACTCTATTTATTATTATTGTTAATATTACATTTCCATTATATTACTCTATTATTATTATTATTACCTTTATTATTTTAATCTATTTATTTTTATTGGAAGGACACACAAGCACATTCTGAAGAAGGTCAGAATGATTTAATCAGAGTTGGGCAGTCTTATCTTAAATATTCAAAAACATTTAACCTCTTGAGGCCTCAATTAATGTAATTTTATTTAATGTAATTTTATCTGTATCTATTTTTATTTTGAAATTTACCAGTAGCTGCTGCATTTCCCACCTTCGGCTTATACTCGAGTCAATCAATTTTCCCAGTTTTTTGTGGTAAAATTAGGTGCCTCAGCTTATATTCGGGTTGGCTTATACTCGAGTATATACGGTAAATACATATTTCATCACATAATAGTTGCACTCCACCCAATTTTTTTCATCAGAAAAGGAGGTGTGAGTATTATGCAAAGAAACCTGCCTTTATTCTCCAGTTTCTGTTGCTTTTAAATAAAATGCCTTACCACCGAAAGGGGGGAAGGAGGCGGGACTATTGGACTACTGCAATGCGCTCTACGTGGGGCTGCCCTTGAAGACGGCCTGGAAGTTCCAACTGGTACAACGGGCGGCAGCCAGGCTCCTTACCTTATAGGGAGCATACAACGCTCCTTTTAAAACAGCTTCACTGGCTGCTGATAGGTTGCCGAGCCAAATTCAAGGTGCAGGTTATGACCTATAAAGCCCTAAATGGTTCGTGCCCCACCTATCTTCACTATTGCATCTCCCTCTATGAACCGACAAGAACTTTAAGATCTTCCAGGGAGACCCTCCTTTTGCTCCCACCACCAGCACAAGCACGGTTGGTGGAGACGAGAGAGAGGGCCTTCTTGGTGGTAGCCCCCCACCTCTGGAACGCCCTTCCTGGAGAAATAAGACAGACCCATCCCTCCCCTCCTTTCGTAAGAGCCTGAAGACCTGGTGGTTTAAACAAACCTTTGAGAACAACTAGTTCTAGCTCTGCCTCTGATACTGTTGAAATTGGCCATATCTTTTTCTACCATTTACCCAGGTCACTTTCTTCTATTAGGCCCTGGAAATGTACAGCCATAGACTCTACCTAATTTCCCGGGCCCTCTAACATCGCACTAACCCCGGCTTGACCTTTTAACCTGCCTTGAACAGGCAGGATTATTTTAAATATATGTGCTATTGTGGTTTTTAATGCTTATATTGTCTTGTTAATTTTATGTTTACGCTGTTTTCTTTGTATGTATTGATTATGTTACTTGGAAACCGCTCTGAGTCCCCTTGGGGAGATAGAGCGGTATATAAATAAAGTTTTGTTGTTGAGGGATAATCCAGCCTCAAATAAACAGTTCAGTTTTTGTTTGTTTGTTGTTTAAAACTAAAGTCGTTTGGGGCTGATTTCCCCTTTCTTAGCTTCACTCTTCTCTCTTTTCTCCTTCCTCTGAGGCGAGGCAGTTTATAAAACCTGACATTGAAGTTTTTGGAACTCGAATTATACCTCTTTCCTCCAAAGAACTTTATTCCACATTTTGTACACTGTCCTGCCACGGAAAAAGGAGGGATGAAGGAGGAGGGAAGAGTGCAGCTCCAGAGACCTCAAGTTTTTAAACTTCAGAGAAAGAAGGAACAAAAGGAAAATCAGCTGCAACTATTATGCGAGGAAAACAAAAAATATCATTTTTGGCGCTCCAAAAAGGGGGGTGCGACTATTATGTAGTGGCGACTTTGTGCGATAAAATACGGTCCATGTACAGATGAGGCGCACATTACTGTTTAACCCTTTGCTCTCATTCTCATTAAAGCCTATGGTACACATTGAACATAAAGGTATTTTAGTAAGGCAGAATATGAAGCTGGAAATGATTCAACAAGAAGCAATAAAATGGGATGCAATAGAGACAAACAAGTGGGCAGCAATCTAAACCTAACTGGAACACCATGCTCACCTTTTTGAGGCTGATACCCAGAAACACACGATTTCATCTAGATCAATACAAATAAACAATGTGAGAGGGCAAGATATTGCAACTTCAAGTATGCATTAGAAAAGATAGAAAAGCTTTCACTATATATTTAAAAGCATTTATTATATTATATCATTTCTAAGCAATATATCAACAATATCTAACAAAATACAATACAATCAGTTCAAAGTGACATGAAATCAAAGGAAAGTCATATTTGTTGTAAGTAATAATAATAATAACAAATAATAAAACTTTATTAATACCCTGCCACCATCTACCGGAGGGACTCGGGGTGGCTCACAAAGCACTCAAAGGTACAAACATTCAAAATTCAAAAGTTAAATGACAATAACACAAAAGCAATAATAACCAACAGAAACACCATAAACCCCCTAATTAAGATCAGTACAATGCAACAATTGCTACAGATATAGTACAATTGCAATCAATATCAGTCACATAATCTCTAGGTCCTTGCATATGTTCATTAGGAGTTTCTAAACATGGTCAGAGGCTTGTTTAAACTGCCAGATCTTCAATTGTGCATAGAAGACTTGGAGAATGGGGGCTAGCTTAATCTTCTAAAGTGGGGGCCACCACCGAGAAGGACCTCTCTCTTGTCCCTACCAACTGCGCTTGAGACAGAGGTGGGACCAAGAGGAGTGTCTCCCCAGCAGATCTCAGAGAACATGCTGATTCATAGAAGGAGATTGTTGAAACAAGGAAGTTTGCAGTAGATACCAAAAAAATCCAAGATGTCGAATTTGTACATTTCTCAGCAAAGATGATCAATTAGAGCTAGCAAAGTAATAACAGTAATCTGGAGTCAGAATGAAATGGCTCTAGATAATCTATATTAGTATTATTATTGTTGCTGCTTCTGCTACTATATATGCAATCGTTTTTTTTCTTGTCTTTTCACAATTTTCAAATACTTACAGAAACATCAGTAAATTTAAAGAAAAGTTTGTTTAAAATGCAATTAAATAGCCTATAGAACAGGCATGGGCAAACTTTGCACTTCCAGATGTTTGATTTCAATGGCCACAATTCCTAATAGCCAGTAGGCTGTTAGGAATTGTGGGAGTTGAAGTCCAAAAGATCTGGAGGGCCAAAGTTTGACTATGCCTGCTGCAGAATTAAAACAACTTCAAATTCATTAAAACACAAAAGATACAAACTAAACTAAACAGCAACCATTAAAAGCCCGTGACAGTTATTTTGTAAAAACTTGTCTAAATAAAAACTGTTTTCACTTGCTGGTGGAAAGACAGAAAGGAGGGAACTATTCTAGTCTCCCTAAGAAGGAGAGCACTAAATTATTGGAGAAGCCACTGAGATGCTCTTTCCCCTTGGTTCCACCAAATGTGGAATTGAGACAAGATTTGTCTTTGAGATTTTAAGAACTTGGGTGGGCTTATATAGAGATGCAAGTGTTCAGATTCCCTGTACCTGAGGCAAAAATGCTAACTGTTCCCCTACCACCACTCTTTAGAACTTATTGTAAACCCACTAACCCCACTGTTTGTCCTTTACGAGCTCCTCTCCTACAAATACACTCCCCCCCCCCCATCTCTTTCAGGGTTTTATCATTTTATCTTGTCATTTGGACTACCTATTGTGTTCAACTTTTCATTATGTTATTTTGCACTGTTTATCTTGCAACTTTACGTATTTTATTGTGATGTAATTTTTCATTGTTTTGTACTTTATTTTGCTGTATTGTATCTTTGGGCTTGGCCTCATGTTAGCCAGTTTAGGTCCCCTTGGGGGGACGGCGGCAGGGTATAAATAATGATGATGATGATGATTATTATTATTTGAAACACAACAAGATGAGTCCACAGCAGACACTCTGCTGGCTGTTGTTTTGGATCACATGTTGGACACTTCCCAAGTGTCTAGGACTCTGTGATGTATTGGCGAATAATGCGTGCAGATCCCAATAAGGTGGCCTTCTGCAGCTGGCAGATGGTAATTTTGTCAGCACCGATTGTGTTTAAGTGCAGGCCAAGGTCTTTAGGCACTGCACCCAGTGTGCCGATCACCACTGGGACCACCTTTACTGGTTTGTGCCAGAGTCTTTGCAGTTCGATCTTTAAATCCTCATATCATTTCAGCTTTTCCAGTTGTTTCTCTTCAATCCTGCTGTCACCTGGGATTGCAACATCGACAATCCAGTTTGTTTTTTAACACGATCGTGCGGTCAGGAGTATTGTACTCCAAAACTCACTCTGTCTGAATCCGGAAGTCCCAGAGTAGCTTGACGTATTCATTCTCTGTAACTTGTTCTTGTTGTTGTAATTTATTGTTGTTATTATTATTATTGTAATTTGTTGTTGTTGTTGTTGTGATGATGTTGTTGTTGTGATTGTGATTATTATTATTATTATTATTATTATTATTATTATTATTATTATTCTTGAATGGAGATAACTAGGGCTAGGCAAATATCACCAGATCCAAAACATACTTCTAAAGGAGCTGTTATATCACTGCATCTTTCAAAGTGCTTTTTCCCATAAGGATACATATGCTACACCCATAATCCACCTGGTCAGTTCTCCTTAGCACACTTAAATCTATAGTGAAGGGCAAACATTGAGAGAGCAAAGGACCAGCCACATAAATGTAAACATCCATCAGGTCACAAAAATTGAAATTAATCCCATAATTTAGGGCAGAGATTGGCAAAGATAATTTTGTGTGGGCTGCAAGTCCCAGAATCCCCCAATCTTGTCACAGAGGGAGCTAATTTGATCCTGGATGTGCCTGACATTAGTCATGCTAATGGTGGGCAAAGCTAGAGCTGGCAGCTACCTATTCCACGGGTGTTCCCCTGCCTCCAATGCTGAGAATGTGCTTCTGGCAAATTATGTAAACTGGAATAGGAGAATAAATTAAGCTTGTGTCTACTATACTAAACCACGTTCATTAGAGAATCTCCTTGCCAGCTGATAGTAAATAATGTAATATTGTGCAGCTGGAAGAGATCCTCAGGAGTCTTTTCAGTTAAGCTCCCTGCCTTAGAGCAGAACAAAAAAGATCTATGAGATGCGCATTAGTAGATCCATTTGTGGGAAGCAAATTGAGATCATTTATTTATATAGGGACTCTGTCTTCTAACCACATTGTGCCAAACAGCCAGTTAGTGAGAATTCCACAAACGATGCCTCTTTTACAGAAAGGCAAGAGATCATAAACAGCATATCTTAGGTATGATGTTTCCCAGCCATGCTCTGGGAAACACCATACTCTGTACCCCAAAGTCCCACTGACAGTACCAACCTTTGCCTTGGAATGATACTTCTTAGATAACCGTCGTATATAGGTCAGCATTTCTGAAGAAGGAGGACCATTAAGGAATCAATATTACATTCTGTGTTCTAGAAAGCAGTAGATGGATGGAACAAGAAAAGCATATTTCTACTTTTGGGGATGCTAAGGGAAAGGAAGAGGGCAGATTCACAACTACTTTCAGGCTTTCTTTGAGTCCCCATTAAGTTCCTTGCTTTTCGAAAAGCATCTGTAGCTGCAGTCCAGTCTAGTGATATTTACAGATGACCATCCTTTTCTCCATGCCCTGAAAATCTAATTACCGTATATACTCGAGTATAAGCCGACCCGTATAGAAGCACCTAATTTTACCACAAAAAACTGGGAAAATGGATTGACTCGAGTATAAGCCGAGGGGTGGGACATGCAGCAGCTACTGGTCAATTTCAAAATATAAATAGATTAGATACCAATATAATTACATTAATTGAGGCATGAGAAATTTAAATGTTTTTAAATATTTGAATACTGTAATCTATATATATATAAATGCTCTGTGCATAATGAGTACCTTAAAAACAAAAGAACCAATGAACGAAATCACACCAAATTGGCAACAAAACGTCTCACAACACAAGGAGTGACCATCACTCAAAAATTATGATTTTGTCATTTGGGAGTTGTAGTTGCTGGGATTTATAGTTCACCTACAATCAAATGGCATTCTGAACTCTATCAATGATGGAATTGAACCAAATTTGGCACACGGGACTCCTATGACAAACAGAAAACACTGGAAGGGTTTGGTGGACATTGACCTTGAGTTTGGGAGTTGTAGTCGACCTACATCCAGAGAGCACTTTGGACTCAAACAATGATGGATCTGGACCAAACTTGGCACAAGCACTCAATACGCCCAAATATGAACACAGATGGAGTTTGGGGAAAATAGACCTTGACATTTGGGAGTTGTAGTCACTGGGATTCACAGTTCACCTACAATCGAAGCATTCTGAACCCCACGAACGACAGAATCGGGGCAAACTTCCCACACAGAACCCCCATGACCAAGAGAAAATACTTAAGGCCATCCAATCCAACTCCCTTCATCCAGACAAAGACCAATCCAGGCATAAATATAGATAGATAGATATGATTCACACACAGAGAGATATAATATCATAGATTTGAAAGGGACTCTTACAGAAGGACAATGATATGTTGCATGTTCCAGGGTGGGCAAACACTCTCCACATCAACACTGACAAAGAAACAGCAAGAAATACTGTTTACCCAAGCATAAAGAAATTACATATATTAGAAACCGACACTTTCTCATTACTTTATTTTCCAGATCAACAGACTGGGCCACAGCAACGCGTGGCAGGGGGTAGCTAGTGTAATATAAGACTGCCCAACTCTGATTAAACAATTGTTCTAACCTTCATCAATGTAAATGTGCTTATGTATCCTTCCAATTATAATAGAGTGAAATAATAAATGTAATAATAATAGTAATAACTGTAAAATAATAAATGTAATAATAATAATAAGAGTAAAATGGTAAATGTAATAACAACAACAGAATTCAATAATAAATTATCTTGATTCATGTATAAGCCGAGAGAGACTTTTTCAGCCTAATAAAAGGGCTGAAAAACTAGACTTAAACTCGAGTATATACAGTATTCATTTTTTTATTTCTGCAAATCAAACACAATTACAAGCCAAGCTCAGGATGGGCAAAGGTTTGTTGATCAGCTAGCAAGTCAATTAAACTTTGGAATGAAGTTCCTATGCTTGTCTTAATAGGTAAAGGTTTCACCTTGACATTAAATATAGTCATGTCCGACTCTGGAGGAATGGTGCTCATCTCCATTTCTAAGCCGAAGAGCTGTCATTGTCCATAGACACCTCTAAGGCCATGTGGCTGGCATGACTGCATGGAGTGCCATTACCTTCCCACCGAAGAGGTACCTATTGATCTACTCACATTTGCATGTTTTCGAACTGCTAGGTGGGCAGAAGCTGGGGATAACAACAGGAACTCACCCCACTCCCCGGATTCGAACTGCTGACCTTTCGGTCAGCATTTTCAGTAGCTCAGAGGTTTAACCCGCTGCACCACCGGGGCAAACATTGGATATTCTTTCGTTGTAAAGATTTTCTTTAGTTGTAAAATGTTGTGTTCATGTTTTTGTACATATGCAATATGAAATTGAAGTACTGCAGGATTTGGTGTCCACTGGAGCCTGGTTCATGTGTACCAAAATTAACGATGCACGAGTCCCATTATATACAATTGTATAGTAAAATTGTGACCCTTACATAAAATGGCAACATTTGCCTTCTGCAATTTTTTAAAAAATCAGTATTTTCAAGATCAGGGGATGCAGAATCAATACTATGGAGGGCCAACTATATATACTCCTGCATCTAATTACAGAAATATCCAATCTATATAAATAAAAATGTAATGTTCGATTGTGGGATTAACATAACTCAAAAACCACTGGAAGAATTGACACCAAATTTGGACACAATACACCTATCAGGCCGACAAATGACCATCACTCATAAAAACACTGAAAAACACAGCAGAAGAGACCTAAAAAGCCAAAAAATAAAAAATAAATTACAACACATGCACAAAACTACATATATATATATATATATATATATATATATATATACACACACAAACACACATACATACATATACACAAATATACACACACACATACACATATATACACACACAAAACACATATACACAGACTGGGCCACAGCAACGCGTGGCAGGGGACGGCTAGTGCCTTATATTCACAGGACTGCACCCTCTCTGGCAAAGAAGTACTGTATATACTCGAGTATAAGCCTAGTTTTTCAGCCCCTTTTTTTAGGCTGAAAAAGCTCCCCTCGGCTTATATTCGAGTCAAAGTTATTTATTATTTTACTCTGTTATAGTATTATTTTTATTTCATGTATTATTTTACTCTCTTTATTATTATTACATTTACAGTATTTTACCCTATTATTATTATTACATTTATTATTTTACACTATTTATGATTATTATTACATTTATTATTTTACTTTATTATTATTGCATTTATTATTTTACTCTATTATTACATTTATTATTCTACTCTATTATTACTGTTATTGCATTTCCATTATTTTACTTTATTATTATTATTATTATTATTATTATTATTATTATAATTATTATAACAGCCCCCAGCACCATGTCCCAGAAGCACTTTATTAGAGTTAAGACTCTCTGCACATTGCACTTGCCCAGAATTCCAATATACCACCGTCACATCCAGCACTTTTTAACCTGTGCCCATCATTGGCCCGGCCTGTTTTTAATGTGTAATAGTGTAATGTTTTTGTCATTGCTTATGTTTTAATTTTTGCTTTGTATTGTATTGTTATTGTTTGCTGTTGTTGTGTTGAGGCCTTGGCCTTTGTAAGCCGAATCGAGTCCTTCGAGAGATGCTAGCGGGGTACAAATAAAGTTTAATTAATAATAATAATTATTATTATTATTATATTTATTATTTTACTCTATTATTGTTGGAAGGATACGTAAGTACATTTACACTGAAGATAATGTAGAACGAAATATGAACTCTGAGTTGGCGAACGCTGAGCTTGAGATTGGTTTATTGACTGTGATATATATTGATTGTTTTAACTGTCTTAATTGTTTTAATTGCTGTTTTACATGTTTATTTGTATTATTGTGTAGGCATCGAATTGTGCCTTTTTTTAAGCCGCCCTGAGTCCCCCCTCGGAAATAAATAAATAAATATGTAATGATTTAATCAGAGTTGGGCAGTCTTATCTCAAATTACAGTTTTATGTAAATATTAAAAAACATTTCACCTCCTGATGCCTCAATTAATGTAATTTTATTGGTATCTATTTTTATTTTGAGATTTACCTGTAGTGGCTGCATTTCCCACCCTCGGCTTATACTCGAGTCAATATGTTTTCCCAGTTTTTTGTGGTAAAATTAGGTGCCTCGGCTTATATTCGTGTCGGCTTATACTCAAGTATATACGGTATATATGTTTTAAATGAATTTGTCCATCCAATTAATTTTAAGAAGGCCAAATAAGGGATCACATCTCTGTAGGTTTAATAGGAGCCTGCTCCAATTAAGAAAACAGTGAGATTTTATATGTCAGATAAGCATTATTACATAGTAATGTATACACATTAAGCTGCTGTCAAAGGCATAGAGATTACAGCTAACAAGGGAGTTTGCAATGTTAATCAAGACCCATGCAGAAGTGTATAGGAAGGTGAATCTCTGCTAGCAACCATGCATACCCATGGACACCCTTGATCCATTGCTCTGGCCTGCCACCTTCCAGCAAGACTGACGTACTACACTGTTTTGACAGAAAAGAGGTTGTCTGTTAGTGCAGAATGCAAGGAATGAAAACATCAGGCAACTGAAGTCATGTAGAAAAGAGGCCAATTTAAATTATTTATTTTGATGAAGAATTTATATGCCACCTTTCAAGACAAAGTTTATCCACAGCAATGGCAACATTTTTAAAAGGATACCATCTGCATGTATAACCTGAATCCCCCACAGTCGCGCGCTGGCAAGGATGCTGTTTCCAGGGATGTTATCCTGAAAAAAAGAAAAATTGGTAGGGAAGTAAAAAAAAAAAAAGATTGACACTACTCATTGCAATTGCTAGATGAGCTCACTTGGGGAAGAAGACTAGCTCTCATGGAACAGTTGAGGGATTAAGATAACCATCTAGCTTTCCAAATAGAACACATAAAAATCATGAATTTTGTCAATCCTGTTCTGCTATCCCACAAAGCCATCTGCCTTCATTCCTCACTTTTTTTATGGAGCATCAGCTGATTGATGTTTAATTCATACGTACACCTACCAGATTATTTTTGGATAAAATGCCAAGCTTTCCCATCTCCCTTGAAGGCTTCTTCCTGCCTTGATGCTTCTTGTTGACTAGCTGGAGCTTTCACTGTTTGTTGTTGATTTATTTATTTATTTATTTAAAACATTTATATTCCGCCCTTCTCACCCCAAAGGGGACTCAAAGCGGAGCACAGCATATATACGGCAAACATCCAATGAATTCATTATATGCATACATAAACATTAAAATGCATTATATGCATACATAAACATTAAAAACATTTATCTCAATATTACAATACACTGTTTAAAACCGTCATGGTCATCTGCGTCAAATCTAATTGGCCTGGTAAAGTTTCCTATCGCTGCTTTATTGCATTGTCCCGAAAGCTTGGTGCCACAGCCAAGTTTTTACCATCCTTCTGAAGGGCAGGAGGGAGAGGGCCACCAGGAAGGGAGTTCCATGGCCAGGGGGTAATCACCAAGAAGGCCCTGTCTCTCGTCCCCACCAATCGCGACTATGACTGTTCTGTCGTGCGCTGGGCTTGAAACGAATTGCTTTTAAAACAGGACGTGCAACTTTAGCCCAGCGGGAAACCAGGAGGCCCGAAGAAAAATTCATAAGGATTTTCACCATAAACAGTCTCTAGAGGGCTTGTTAAATATAACAAAGTCTTTTATTGGTGAATAATCAACAGAAACTTCTTTTGTCTTCAAAAGGTTAAACAAATGCTTCCAGGCTTTGTGCAACTGGTGGCTTCTAACTGTTGCTTTTACTCTAAAGGAAAATCCCTTTCCAAACTTCTCCCAGGCTAACTGTGATCCTAAACCTAACTGATGTGGATCCACTACCGGGCTGAACTGCGTCTCAAAACCGAGTGAACCTACCAGTAGGCCTGTAGTCACTTAGCTGGAGTTCTTGATGTTTAAAGCTGTTATTCCCTCCGAAATTCCTCGGGGCTATAAGGCTGTTTCCCTGGGAACCTTTGGGAATCTTTAGATGCTCTTAACACTGTTCTCCACTGGGAGGTCTTAAGGGCTGAAGCCTTTGTACAGGAGAAGTCTGTACACATCCTGTACATTGACTTTCCTTGCTGAGACTGACTGAAAATGGCTCCCTTCCCTTCACAATTGTCCTGAACAGGGGGCGGAACCAAACTTAATGATGATGGACAGGGGGCCTGCCCTATAACTGCAAACTTTAACAGGAAGCCACCCTTCTGCAGAATCCCAAACCTTGGGCTGCAAGCAAACACTTAATACAAGGCAAATAAAGTGGGAGCTTCTGGTACAGCTGTACCAGCACAATGACAATGGTGGGACAGAGAGCAGGGCCTCGCCAGAGGATCTTAATCTCCGCAATGGTTCATAGGGGGAGATGCATTCGGACAGGTAAATTAGGCCAGGGCCATTTAACGCATGTTTATGGCATGCAAAGGTAAGGGGAAAAATAACCAGCAAAAACAAGGAAATGGTTTTCCTCCTTTAATCCCTCCCCCGGGTAAAAGGGCCCATCCCTCTCTAACTAGCATCCCCTCCTGGCCTTCGCCTGGATAATGGACCAGTACCATCCTAAGATACCTGTGTTTCCCCAGCCCTCCCAGTTCCCTCAAAGAAAATCTTTGGTGTTTAGTGTACTTGCTCTCTGGATTGCCTGGGGGATTGTACTTCCTAAGACAGAGCTGGACTAGCTGATCTCGGAGGGCTAATTTCAACTCAATTATTTTTACACACACCCATGCCCAATTACACACACACACTCCACAGGATTGGCAAGCCAATGAATGTATTTGCTCACCTGACTGCCAATAGCTTTATGCAAAAGCTTTTTCCCACGACTGTTCAAGGTCTGCAAAAAGAAGGGTGAGTTGAGATCAGGACAAAGCACAGACAATATCAAAACCGGAGGTGATGGAGAATCGGGTTTTATTGGCCTTGGCATTAGGCCCAGGAGATTTCCATTCATTATCACTCCATAGGCACTACTTCTTATGAACGGATTATTTCATTGACTTCCTGCCACCTTATCGAGCTAGTCCCTTTTGTTCTATCGAGCCAGTGCCTTTCATTCCCAATTTGTGCAAAAATGAATGAAACCAAATTCAGGGCATCTGTGCCAAATTGTAACCATCTTCCAAATACACTAATGGAGATTTTCTGGTATAGATTTTTTTCTGCCTCAATTATTGTTGTCAAGTCATAAGAAGACCTCCTACAGCCAAGTGGCCTTGTAGCTTCTCTTTGGGATTCTTCTTGGGTTTGATTTTTCCTGTGCTGCTTAGGAACTCAAAATGTCAATTATGTCAATCAACAGCAGGACTAAAGAATCCCTGGTCTTTCATAGAACTAAGACTCCAGCAGCTCTTTTTCACTGGTCAACTATCTGATGAAGTTGTAGCCCATATATCTGAAGGGCCAGAGGTTCCCCTTCCCTGTCCTGGAAGGAAAACTGAGGCATGAGCAACAGCAGAAAGGGAACCAAAGTGAAAAGGGCCCTTTGAAAGTTGAGCACAAAAAGAAGGGAGATATTGGTCAGCAAATGCTGTTGCGGGGGGGGGGGGGGGGGGGGGGGGGGGGGGTATTTAGTCACATACCAATTGTACAAGTTCTCCCACTTAAAAAGATGAGAGAGGCCTGTAATTGACATCATAGGTAGACCTCAACTATGAAGGACAACATGAGAAAACACAGCCAGAAAATCACATTGTCTGATTTTTAACAAATTTATTCGCAAATTATGGTGGAAAATAAGTATTTGGTCCATAACAAAAGTTCATCTCAATACTTTGTTATATATCCTTTATTGGCAATTACAGAGGTGAAACATTTTCTGTAAGTCCTCACAAAGTAGGCACACACTGTTGCTGTATGTTGGCCCATTCCTCCATGCAGATCTCCTCAAGAGCAGTGATGTTTTGGGGCTGTCGCTGAGCAAAATCTCGCTGGGAAGGGAGTTCCAGGTAGATAAGTCAAACCAGGCTTTTTGGGTTGTTTTTTTGACTAAAGTTTCTAGATTTATACTTATATAGAGAGTACTTCTCTAACAGATTACATATCCACTGCTTGTAAGTAGTTGTCTTCCCCATTTTTCTCCCTAATCATGCTTTTCCCACATGAAGCTGACACTTTGCACCTGTGAATTGACAGCAGTTAATTTATTTACTGTTGTTTTAAATGTTTATTGTTTTGATTTTATGCTACATGTGTTGCTGGGGGGTTGTTGTTATAATTTTATGTGACTTGTTTAATATTTTTGTACTGTTTTACCTGTTGCATGTTATATGTGCACCCTGTAGTGCCTTGTAAGCCACCCTGAGTCCCTTCGGGGAGATGGTAACAGAATAAAAATAAAGATGATGATGATGATTATTATTTCCCATGCTTGTGCACAATTTTGATTGCTAACTGGAGATGATCTGAAGGGGACATGGTTAGGGATGTTTGGCCTGGGTAATTATGTTTTATTAGGCAGAGATTTTCAAGATAGCAGGAATCAGCATGCTACCAGCATGAGGGTGGAGATTGGAGGATATAAAGGTAAAGATTATTAACTTAGTTTATTCTTTTTCATGCCATAAAAAGAAAGCATCTGAACAGCATGATGTCTGCAGGAGGAAAGTGCAAGTTTAATATTTGCCTGTAACCACTATTATCCCAACAGCCCCCCCACTGATAAGTCATTCCTTGTTTATAAAGGAAATGCACCTTACGCTATTCAAGATTTGTGATGCTTACCGTGTCCATCGGCTTTGGCAAGGGACGTCTATGATCCTGCTGGGGTTTTGCGGAAGATAGGACTCCAGTGTGTGTATCCTTCAACCCACTGTTAATGTGTTTCCCCGTCCATATCTCCCGTCTGGCCTCTTGGCTGCTGGAAACAACATAGGTCACTTCCTTACTCAGAAAACTTTCTATAACCTGGAATGGGAAACAAAGAACAAAGTGGAAAATTATTTTTACTATTATTTTGCTGTTTCTGGATTGGTCTGCAATTACTTCAAGAAAAATGTGTGTGCTTTTTGGTAAATATTACTCCTATTATAAGCAGTGGAGTCCCCAGTGGTGCAGAAGGTTAAACCACTGCTGCGCCACTCCTTGTTAACCGAAAGGTCGCAGGTTCAAATCCGGGGAGCAGTGTGAGCTTCCGCTGTCAGGCCCAGCTTCTGCCAACCTAGCAGTTTGAAAACATGCAAATGTGAGTAGATCAATAGGTACCGCTCCGGCAGGAAGGTAACGGCGCTCCATGTAGTCATGCTAGCCACATGACCTTGGAGGTGTCTATGGACAATGCTGGCTCTTCGGATTAGAAATGGAGATGAGCACCAACCCCTGGACTTAATGTCAGGGGAAAATGTTTATGTTTTTATATTCCAGGCATGGGCCAGCTTTGGCCCTTTCTGGACTTTGTCTCCCAGAAAACCCTGCCAGCTTACCGGCTGTTAGGAATTGTGGGAGTTGAAGTCCAAAACACTTGGAGGGCCAAAGTTTGCCCATGCTCATGGAAAATATAGAATTTTTGGTCAAACGATGAACCCAAAAATTGGGTGATCAATGTGAGTATGGTGCCTTAACTCTTATCAAGAAATGAACTATCTTTTTATCCGAGTAGAAAAAGTTGAGAGCTTAGTCCATCCTAGGAGAAGCGAAAAAGAAACACCGACCCCCTCCATCCCCTCTGCTGTGGTGCTGCTTCTGGCTTTTTAAAATGCCTGGGTAGAGAAATGATGGCAGAGGTGGCTTGCTTACTGAGGTCGCAGTGGTGCTTTCCCCTTTTCACAGAATGACCTTCAACTTATCCGCTCGTCATATGAAAATTCATAATTTTGACCCCAAAACTTGCCCTCAATTTATATATACAGCATTTGAACTAGATTCCTTAGTACCTCTAGCAGCCTAGTTTATGGGGATTCTCAGAGCTGAAGTCGTAAACAGTAACTTTTCCAAACTCTGCAAAACAGGTACATTTTTTAAAACATGTAGAGACCATATTGCTTCCACACCACCCCTATATACAGATGTTTGAGTGGTTCGTGGTAGCCATTTCTTCCAGAAAGATACAACTTTGCCAGCAAGCTATCAAAGTGATTCGGGTGAAAATAAATAAATAAATAAATTGTTCTGCCTGTTCAAGGAAAGCAGCAAAACAGATATCATGCCATTAATTTAATACCAAACAGATTCCTTCACCAAGAGATTTGGCGGCTGCAGTAACTGCAAGTTTTCATCATATTTTCCCCAGTTATTTGGGATAGTTGACACTCTTGTAGACTATCTTCTTTCTGTGTAATGTCAAAGGTTTTCATGGCTGGAATCACTGGGTTTTTGTAGGTTTTTTCAGGCTATATGGCCATGTTTTAGAGCAGGGGTCCACAAACTTTTTAAACAGAGGGCCAAGTCACACTCTCTCAAACTGTTGGAGGGCCGGATTATAATTTGAAAAAAACATGAATGAATTCCTATGCACACTGCACATATCTTATTTGTAATGCAAAAAAAAAAAAAACACCTTTAAATACAATAATTAAAATTAATAACAATTTTGACAAATATAAACTTATTGGTATTTCGATGGGAAGTGTGGGCCTGCTTTTGACTGATGAGATAAGATTGTTGTTGTTGTTGTGTGCTTTTCAAATAATTTCAGACTTAGGTTGACCCTGAGTGAGGGCCGGGTAAATGAGCTTGGAGGGCCGCATCTGACCCCCGGGCCTTAGTTTGAGGACTCCTGTTTTAGAGGCATTCTCTCCTGGCGTTTCGCTTCCATCTATGGCAAGCATCCTCACTACCTCTGAGGATGCTTGCCATAGATGCAGGCGAAACGTCAGGAGACAATGCCTCTAAAACATGGCCATATAGCCCAAAAAAACCTAGTATCTTCTTTCTACTTCCAAAAGTACACTAGATTAAAAGAATGCAGGCTTCAAAGAAAATCATACATCCCAGCTCTCCCTGTGCTTAAGTTGTGACCAGGTTTGAAACGGTTGTTTTAAAACTGAATTTTAGGACTATTTTTAGACAGCATTAAAATATGTTTTAAAAATATTGTTTTAAGTAAATTTTTATTTGCCTATGGCAGGGGTCCTCAAACTAAGGCCCGGGGGCCAGATGCGGCCCTCCAAAGTCATTTACCTGGCCCTCGCTCAGGGTCAACCTAAGTCTGAAACAACTTGAAAGTGCACAACAATAACAACAATCCTATCTCATCAGCCAAAAGCAGGCCCACACTTCCCATTGAAATATTAATAAGTCTATATTTGTTTTAAAAAAATCTTCATTTTAATTGTTGTACTGTTTTTACACTATAAATATGTGCAGTGTGCATAGGAATTCATTCATGTTTTTTTCAAATTATAATCTGGCCCTCCAACAGTTTGAGGGACTGTGACCTGGCCCTCTGTTTAAAAAGTTTGAGCACCACTGGCCTATGGGATATAAGGTGATGCAGAAACACTTTAAATAAATTAATAAATAATAATTGCTGAGATTGGGTAAGTTATCATTAGTTGTTGTTGATCTCAACTCACTTCATATATTCTTAAGCTGACACATTTTCTCTTAAACTGGCTCTAGTTCAAGGAAAACCGCAATCATTACCACTTTGTTATGGCCTGTTTTGTGGACCAGAATTGCAGTTTCCATTCATGAAAAATCTACAAGAGGAACAATTCCTCTTACTTACCCCTCCAAGACGTTTCACATTTTCTGCCAAAAAATCCAAGTTCTTGCCACTGGGGATGTCCAAGTAGAAAGATTTCCCAACCAAGGGACAGCTTCTATGTGTACTCATAGCTTGGTTGTTTTGTTGTCGTTTGATTTGGCTCCTTTGTGTTCTTTCGATATAAGAGAGGTGTTGCCCTTTTGGGGAAAAAAACATACAGATACTGTCTCAAACATTTATTTAATAGTGTATTTTCCCCCCTCTCTATTATTGGCAATAAGGAATCACAGTGGCCCAGCCGACGGTGTTCAACTCTCTTATAATTTTATATTTTGTGTTCATTCTATTGTATTAGTTTGCTATTGTTTGCACTTTATCTGATGTTATTATCCGTTGTATGTATTTTATTTTGTCTTATTGTAACTCCCAGGCTTGGCCTCATGTTAGCCACCCCGAGTCCCCTTGGGGAGATGGTGGTGGGGTATAAATAAAGTTTATTATTATTATTATTATTATTATTATTACAAATTCTTAATTCATAACAATGCAAACAACTGTTCAACTTTTCAAGAGCAACATCAACCCAATTCATCTTGTCATATATTTCTAAATTCTGGATAACACTATTCAACAAAATTTGAAAAAGAAAATCTGTTTCTGGTTTGAAAGTGTTCCATTGTGTTTAGTTGTGCAGAACTTACTTTGAAAGTAGCTGTTATACTACAGAAATTTCATTTTTGTGGCTGCCAGAAACTAGGTTGAATTGGTTGAGACTCATTGAAAAACTATAGCAAAATGTGCTGCAGGATGGCCCACAAAAACAAAGTTTTTGCAGTTTAATAAACTTTTTCCATGTTTTTATGGTAGAACTAATTAGGAAATTACATTTATAACCCAGGTACAATAAAACATGTTACACAGTAAAATCAATCCAATCACTTTCTAAGAACAAGTCAAACCACCTTGGCAATTCTCCCCTTTTGGTTATGAAAGTTAAAATAGTAGAATGTGGTTCATCTATCTTGTTCAAATCTGCAGTCCTGGAACAACCAGTTTAACTTATTTCCTTTCAGAGTCATAGCCTTAGAACTAAAATGCCCTAGACCAGTGTTTCTCGAACTCTGCTACTCCATGTGATTTAGACTTCAGCTCCCAGAAATCCCAGCCATCTTACCAGTTGTTAGGAACTGTGGGAGTTGAAGTCCAAAACACCTGGAGGAGCAGAATTTGAGAAACACTGTCCTAGACACTTAATATTATTATTATTATTATTATTATTATTATTATTATTATTATTATTATTATTTTATTTCAATTATTTGTACCCCACCCTTCTCAATCCCTGCAGGGGGACTCAGGGCGGTTTACAGTCGGCAACGATTCGATGCCCCCTCATACAACATAATAAATACAATAATTACATGTAAATAAAAACATTAAGTTGGCTTTACTATACAAAAAAAGGCACTCCAAATCTGTGATGACTTCAACTGCCCTGTAGATACATCATAGGCACCTTCCACACAGCTATATAAAATCTCACATTATTTGCTTTGAACTGGGTTATATGGCAGTGTGGGCTCAGATAACCCAGTTCAAAGCATATATTGTTGATTATCTGCCTTGATTTTCTGGGGTATATGGCTATCTGGAAGGACCCATGTGTTTTGATAACAATTCTATGACACATGCCATGAATTATTTTATTATTTGAAAACCTGGCTCTTCCGCTGTGCCTTTGGAGATTAACCACATAATCTCATATTGCTAGTAACCCTCAATATTTGTTTTTAGTGCACATCTCCCCCCTGTACGAAGGTCCCTTTTTCAACCTCACTTCGGAAGAATTCCTCCCTCAGAAATAATCCGCTCCACTGCTATCTCATCCCGTTTTTATCTTTAGTATTTTATTCTATTCATGTGGCCCGCTCACTGTTTTGTGTTATGAATGATCTTACTGCAATTTTATATTGATTGTAGTATTCTTATAGTTTACTAGCCGTTCCCTGCCATGCATTGCTGTGGCCCAGTCTGTATATATATGTTTTGTATGTCTATATGTGTCTGTATATATTTGTGTATATGTGTCTATGTATGTTTGCATATATGTGTGTGTGTGTGTGTGTGTGTGTGTGTGTGGTTTTGTGCATGCGTTGCAATGTAATTTTTGTTTTTTGGGGGGGTTTTAAGTCCCTTCCGCTGTGTTTTCCAGTGTTTCCAGTGACCGCATTTCTGTATACGAACCCACACGATCTCTTCGTTCATCTGGAGAGGCCCTGCTCACGATCCCACCTGCTTCGCAAGCACGATTGGTGGGAACGAGGGACAGGGCCTTCTCGGTGGTGGCCCCCCGACTCTGGAACTCCCTCCCCAAGGACATCAGGCAGGCCCCGATGTTGGCAGTCTTTAGAAGGAACTTGAAAACGTGGATGTTCCAGTGTGGCTTCCCAGAATAAGGAATTCTAAGCAATACGTCCTAAATGCACTTTACGAGAGACTTAGAATTGTCTGCACACCCACTTATCCCAAAATATCCCTCCTATTTCCCTTGGACATGCCTAGCATTTTTAAATTTTTAATTCTTACATTTGGCTCTGCCACGGGTTTTTTTAAAAATATTTTAATTGATTTTTTGCTTTACAAATATATGTTAAAAAGAATAGGAGTGGACATAATGGGAAAGTTGGGGAGTGTGAGGGGAAGGGTGGGGAGAAAAGGGGGATGGGGAAGAAAGGAAAGAGAAGAGAGGGAAAAGTGGGGGAAATTGGGGTGGGGAGTGGGGCAAGTCGGGTACTTCCAGGTTCCTCCAGGGTGGCACTCATATTATTACAATTCCATACACTAGTAGATTTTACATATAATATATTCTTCTGGTTGTTTGTCCATATAAATACATATTCTACAGCATATAAATAGGTTTTTAAATGCATCGTGTTATTATTGTATTGTTATTATTGTATTGTTTTTGCTTTTATGAGTTATTTATTGTTGTTTTGTTGTTGTTATGTTTTATGATGTATTTGGGCTCGGTCTCTTGTAAGCCGCACCGAGTCCTGCAAGGGATGGTAGCGGGATATAAATAAAAGTTTATTATTATTATTATTATTATTATTATTATTATTATTCTGAGTGATGGTCATTCGTTGGTCTGTTAGGAGTGTAGTATCCAAATTTGGTGTCAACTCTTCCAGTGGTTTTTGAGTTATATTAATCCCACAAATGAAAATTACATTTTTATTTTTATAGATGTTTTATGTAATGCCTAAACATCTAAGGAGGGTATTCACTAGAACCCGATTCGAACAGACAGATACAATGCTTAAACATGGAAGGTTTAACCAATTTCCATATAATGAACGTTTCTGTATCTGTGGGGCGACAGAGGTAGAGGATATTACACATGTACTGTTTAATTGTATTTTGTACAACAAAGAGAGAAATCAATACCTCGGACCATTCATCATACAGAAGACTCACTGGGATCCCCATATCAAAACTACATTCTTAATGGCTGGCCAGAATGCTAAGATAACACACCAAACAGCCCTTTTCCTTTATAAAGCAATGCAGCTGAGAACTGCGTATCTGGAGGCGATTGGGGTCAACTGTAGGGGTGACGCAGATATCTGAAGTGGCTTGGGATTGTGTAATAGCTATTTTAACCTTCATTTTAACCTTCGTTTTTAATTTTTGTGGTATGAAATTTTATCTTGACATTTTAATGATGATATTTTTAGTTATCTTTTAACCTAATCAGGTTTGAATGTGTGTTTGTTCGCTGTTGTGGGGGTCTTGGGATGGTGATTGTTGTCTGTTTGTGCACGTTTCTGTTTTTGTTTTTAATGTTGATGCGGTCAATAGACTATTCAATAAACTTTGCTTGCTTGCTTATGTTGTTGTTTATGTTTGGATTTTATTTTATTTTATTATTTGTTGGGCTTGGCCTCGTGTAAGCCACCCTGAGTCCCCATTGGGGAGATGATGGCGGGTACAAATAATGATGATGATGATTATTATTATTATTATTTTAAGGACTTTTAAAATCAGAATACAAATCAAGCATTTCTGCTATCCTCACCCATTTCCCTGATAGTTCATTTCCTTAACCTTGAGTGGGCTGATCATGTTCAGCAACTCTTGCTTTAGCCGTCTGATCTGTCCAGCCACTTCATACTTTGGGTCGGCATTGCCTTTGGAGCCCATCTGTCATTTTTCCTCCATTATCAGACTGTCAATGTTGTTCACCAGCCCCCGCTTTTTACCCAAAATAGATTCCCACTAGGGTATCTTTGGTTCCCAAGGGATCCTGATTCACTCTTCTGATGATAACTTTCTGCAGTATTTGCTTTCATTTCAGTAACTAGAATGTTGTTTGTGTGATAATCTGGTGGCTATGATTGGGAACAACACAGTCTCCTTTTGCAATGCTACCATGCCCACCCACAGTCAGGTTTATTTTTATACTTCATGGTTTTAGCTGTCTGCTGATTGAACCACCCAGGGAACATTTTGTGATGGGCAGTAGCAAAAAGCTGCAAATAAATCAGAAAAAGTGGGTGCCAAAATGGAGAAGGCATTCTCTCTCTTTTTGAGGAAATTCAACTGAGAAGAGACCAAAAAGGAGCCATTTCTTTTGAGTTGCAACAAGCCAACAGTGAATTCTGCCTTGTCTCTGCAACAGGACCAAACTATCCAAGCACAACAGATAAAGATAAAAGGAAAATTACCAAGCTCTATTAAGATAAATTGAAAGGAGCAAGGCCAGAGGGGTCAGTCATGCTGCAGTTAGCCTCCTCTATCAGCCAGGACTTTCAGCTCACAGACTACTGTGGTGTGGATATCGCATGCCAAAAATAGACATAAGATGATACTCTCTAAGAGCCGAAGAGTGGTAAAGGTGCTTCCAAAGTAACCCAAATGTCTAAATATATAAGTTATCTGAGAATGAAGGAAAATAGGAAACCAATAAAGCATATGAGATATGGTCACCTTGGGCACAATTCTTAACATAAATTAGATTCAACTAGAGCAGTGGTTCTCAACATTCCTAATGCCGTGACCCCTTAATACAGTTCCTCATGTTGTGGTGACCCCCAACCATAAAATT